GTTATTAGTCCAGATAAGATATATTTATTAGCGATCTCGTGGTATCGAAAGGATAGCGAGACGTGTCAAAGAGTACAGGAAAAATGGCAGAGCGTAAAAGCGTTCGCATGAACAAATTGGACAATGGAACGAAAAATGTTTTTGATACAGTTTAACAAGAATGTACAGTAAAACAATCACTGATACAATTGGTTGTAAAAATAATAATTGTTCCCATTATATCGATTGTGTTCTTGTCATAAAACGTAGGTCACTACAAACTTTGAAATCACACTATCATCAATCGACGGTTGAATTCCGTTCTTCATAACTTCATCGAAACCATAGCCATCGAACATTTCAAAGTTGATTTGCGTATCCAAAATGAAGCAGTTGCAAATCTTCACCATGGTGACTTTATCGTCAGTTTATTATATCATTCTTGGAATTGGTAAGCAAAGATGGACAGTGGCTAGCAGTGAAATCCAGTTGGACACGTGTTTCGTCCTATTTCGAACTTGTCAGCTGGATGTACCTGCATCTCAGAGTTGATGTTCACTCTGGGACTCGAACCCAGTATCTTTCGCTTCAAACGTCATCGCGTTATTCACTCGGCCACTGAGTCCATTTAGCCACTTGCTTGTGCGATGGGGTGAAGTTTAAATTCAACTTAGTTTTAATATTCCCATTGATGTTTAGGACTGCTAGCCACTATCCATCTTTACTTATAATACTTGTGAAATAAGGCTATATCGAGGCAATAAGCACAGAATGCACATATACCAATCAGAGACTGACCAGTTGCAGTCCTAACACATCGGCGGGAAGATTCAAACAAACAATACTAAATTGAATTTATTCTTGGAATTGTTTCTCTCATTTTACTCGCATCACTTTTTCTTCAAATTCACAATTTTATTTTCTATCTGACTGGTCTTAACTCATGTCATTTTTTAATTGCTATTAATTTATGTTCATGTACTTCACTATACAATGGGTTATTTATTTTGCAGTGGACGAAAACATAGATAGTGGACAACCAAATGTTCCCAACCTTCTACCTCCAGGCATTCCACTCTCGATTGGTGATACTTACTACTTATATATGTCGACGACCCCCAAATGCCCTGATACGGCTGAGAGTTGGAAGAGTCCGCCCTCCCTCTACAAATGCTCTCACATGGCCACAAGTATATAGCCTCTGACAGGGAAGTCCTACTCATTGCTTTTTCATGGCGGGCGTGTTGCTTACGAAATCGAGAGGACGGAAAGCGAATGTCCGGCGCTTTAATCGGATTGATGGACAAGTAGAGTTCACCTAGGGAAGTTGGATGTATCTGCATCTCAGAGTTGCAGTCCTAACACATCGATAGGAAGATTCGAACAAACAATACTAAATGAATTTAAACTTCACCCCATCGTACAAGCAAGTGGCTATTAGGACTCAGTAGCTAAGTGTATAACGTGATGACGTTTGAAGCGAAAGGTAATGGGTTTGAGTCCCAGAGTGAACGTCAACTCTGAGATGCAGTTACATCCAGCTGACGAGTCCCAAATAGGACCAAACGCGCGTTCTGGATTCCACTACTAGCCACTATCCATCTTTGCTTACCATGCTTGTGAATTAGGGCTCTATCGAGGCAATACGCACAGAATGCACATATACCAATTAGAGACTGATCAGTTGCAGTCCTAACACATCGGCGGGAAGATTCAAACAAACAATACTAAATTGAATTTATTCTTGGAATTGTTTCTCTCATTTTACTCGCATCACTTTTTCTTCAAATTCACAATTTTATTTTCTATCTGACTGGTCTTAACTCATGTCATTTTTTAATTGCTATTAATTTATGTTCATGTACTTCACTATACAATGGGTTATTTATTTTGCAGTGGACGAAAACATAGATAGTGGACAACCAAATGTTCCCAACCTTCTACCTCCAGGCATTCCACTCTCGATTGGTGATACTTACTACTTATATATGTCGACGATACGGCTGAGAGTTGGAAGAGTCCGCCCTCCCTCTACAAATGCTCTCACATGGCCACAAGTATATAGCCTCTGACAGGGAAGTCCTACTCATTGCTTTTTCATGGCGGGCGTGTTGCTTACGAAATCGAGAGGACGGAAAGCGAATGTCCGGCGCTTTAATCGGATTGATGGATAAGTAGAGTTCACCTAGGGAAGTTGGAAAACCCGGATTCCTAACCAATGGTGCACATGGGCTCCAGTATTATGGAATAAATGGCGTATGAATCAATTGTTGGTCACCGGCAACCATAGGAGTGCATCTCCTGACGATGCTCCACTGCCTTATGGATCAGACATTTAGGTCAAAGGCTCCGGGTGTGGTTCCCTAAGAAAACCACCTGCTTCAGTTTGGGCACCTAGGCTGTATCACAGTCCTCACACAAATCAAATGAGACTTGTGTGGCGCATATATATGTGGTGCCCCTTTGTGTTCAAATCAATAAATGTCGACATCAGCAGCACATACCATAATTTTATCTCTGTGATCTCTTGTTATTGTCTGAAGATCCAGTATACTCTCGTATATTATATTTATTTACAACACTATATATGTCTTCAATTTCATTACTCCATCATGATCATACATATCCACTTTTACTATTATAACTATGTAAACTTTACTTCTCTTATACTGTAATAGGATAGGAATCCAAATATCTGTATGTCGGCTTTGTGAAGTCGATTTACGATTAACATTTCTTTTTTCCACCCATCCGTTCTTTTGGTCACTTGTAAGTTTAGAAAGGAAACATTGCAGTTTTTTCTTCCCTTGTGAAAGTGATTGCCAGGTGGGTTCTGTTAAATGTTTCTGTAGTAAGCTCTTAGCTTTGTTATTGTTTTTCATAACTATAAACGTATCATCCATATAACTGCAACAAAATTTTAGTTCGCTTATCACACTAATTTGTAAAGCGAGGATTAGACTTAATGGTGATATCATAACTACACCGTCGAAAAATGAAATGTCACCTTAGTTTCAATTTTCCAAACATCATTACCAACGAATTACTATATTGTCAAATTGACTCACCACATATCTATTTCTTATCAACTTTCTACTTAATTGTAAAGCAGAATTTAGTTAGTTTTACACTTGACTCACATTCAGTCTATTTTTAGCTTCCAGGTCTATTGGTTACATCTGAAAATCATGATACAGACCAACAATTCAAGTTATGTTACCCAACTAGTACGCTTGAGTTCATAGAGATCTAAATAACTAAAAATAGATCAAATTTCATATATGTGAACTTTGCCATAGAGCTAGTTGTTTCTTAACTCCAATTGGATTATCGACATTTATCTTGATCAACGACAGTCTACTGTGATTATATCTTAACGATATTTTGCGCTCAACTCCACTGAAATTACAATAGAAATAGAATAGTAACATAAGCCTTTGGAAGTTCAACATTGTATAGTGAGAACGATACAACTAGATGAAATTAAGTTGTTAAGTCCTCACTGTGGCTTGTTTTTGAAATTAGAATTTTAAATAGGAATCGATCATTTCAATGTAAGAGCTGTGTGTTTTATAAACTTTTATGTAACATGGGTATCTGAAAGCCACCCTTTCATCAATAGTCAAATTAAAGTGATTCAAAGATAGTAATATTCACTTCGTCTGTTCAGTATCGAGAACACATCAAAGGGATAACCAGATTAATTCAGATAGGAGAAAAGTCCTATTCTAAGCACTTGAAATTTTGTCCATGCAAAAAATATTTCACTGATTGATGATTCACGAGTCATATTGTAATCCTTTATGTGAGAATGATAATGACTGGTTGTTTTGCTGAATCAGACATGTGTAGATAGGATGACAGGTGTTATATGTGTTATATATATATATATATATATATATATATATATATATATATTCCCCTATCCTGATTATTATTGATGGACTGACTGTTCACAATTGATTGATCACTGTGTGTCAAGTCCTTCTTAGTGCTGATCGAATGCTATCGATCAAGTTGCAATGTGGCCACTAGTCTAGGAGGCTTGACACTGCGTGCACTATATATATTGAGGAAAGATGGTGGTTGTAGGTGGTCAACAGGAGATCCTGGACCCGGGTTTCGTGCTACTTGGCACTCGTCAGCAAGGTGTAACTGTAATCTTGAGGGAACTGATGCTCCCTGACGGATTCGATCCCATGTCACTCAGCTTCACAGTCAGAGACGTTATCGCTGAGCTATTTGGGCCGCGACCAGTCTCCTCTAGGACTGAGGTGTAATCAAAATTGATTGATCACTGGGTGGTGATCAATGCCATGCGTGTCAAGTCCTTCTTAGTGCTGATCGAATGCTATCGATCAACTGACTGACTGTTCCTTGTTGTTGGATTGTTTCACATTTTAGATGTGTGGAAGTATATTGACGTCCTAGTTAGGCTAATCTCGTGTTCTTAATCTGAGTTGTGTTGAAGTCCTGTAGAATAGACACTGGGTAGGAAATCTGGTGGAGATATTTGTTCGTCTAAGGTAAATTAACATCCCACATACGTGTAAAAAGTGAAAGGACTGTTATAACAAAGAAACCCTAGCGTTATATATATTTTTATTTAAACATATAAATATTGGTACAAGGAAGCACCAGATACATATGCTCCGCACAAATCTCATTTGATTTATGTGAGGGCTGAGATACTGCTCAGATGCCCAGACTGAAGCAGGTGGTTTTCTTGGGGGACCACACCCGGAGCCTTTGACCTAAATGTCTGATCCACAAGGCAGTGGAGCATCATGAAGAGATGCAATAACAACAACAACAACTAACTATCATAAAGTAAAAATGTTTATATAAATTATATAGGTACATATTCGTTGAATGATTACTAACAAATGAAAGTGATTCTATCTTCAACTCATATCAAATAACTAATTGTTCATAAAAAACAAATTACAACTAATAGTAATACAAAAGAACAAACAATTCAGTAGTACCTCATTAAATTGGATCCAATCAAATTGTTTATATTAAATTTCTATATTCTCTTTATTAATTTGATGAGAGGAAGTTTTGTTGCTAAGTGAATGATCATAATGATAATCATGATCATCATTATCAACATCATAATCAACAATTTCTGTAGCCCATGATTGTATATTGGATGATGAAAAAATTAAAAAAAATAATCCAGCAATAAAAAATATGATAGAACCTAAATAAAATACATAACGCCATTGTTCATAAGTTTTCTTGTAAAAGAAAAAAAAGAAAGAAAAAAAAGGAAAAAACATAAATATTTTAAAGTTGTAACTGGTCAGTCTCTAATTGGCATACATGCATACCATTTGCAGTCCTAAACATCAATGGGAAGATTCAAACAAACAATACTAAATGAATTTAAACATCACTCCATTGCACAAGCAAGGGGCTATCAGAACTCAGTAGCTGAGTGGATAACGCGATAGCGTTTGAAGCGAAAGATACAGAGTTCGAGTCCCAGAAAGAACATCAACTATGAGATGCAGATACATCCAGCTGACGAGTTCGAAATAGGACGAAACACGTGTCCGACTGGATTCCACTGCTAGCCACTATTCATCTTTGCTTGTATGGACTGTGTTTAAATAGAAAGAAACTGTTAGTAATTAGTTGTTCTAAAAACAAAATCTTTCTATTAATCTTTGTTTTGTTTTTCGCTATTCATGATATACTATGATCATAGGTGTTATCAAGGCATAAAACGTTCCTCTAGGGAGATTTATCAGAACATTTGTAATAGTGTAAGGTGATTATTAGTTATTCTATTGCAAATTAGATCCATTTGGTGGATTCAACACGAAGGACAAGAAATTTCATGTTCAAGAATGCAGATTGACTATTACCATCTATTTTGAATATTTCTGTTACCTAACATTTGACCATTTTTCACGTTCAAAACAGTAGTTTCATTTGAAAGAAATCTTTATTACTGTTATCAATCAATAAATTTGAAAGAACTTTATAGGTTCTGCTTTACTAAGTTTTGCTGAGTGCAATGTAACAAATTCATTATTATGAGAATGGTCGAAATGGCGGTCCAATGCTTCCAGATGTTCCACGGTGGTCTAGCTCCAATTAATTCATGATCTCAACTATTGAAATTCATTAATAGTTAATTGGTTACTTGAAAAGTATTAATAATAACAAGAATAATAGGCCTTATCAATGATCAGTTGGATTTTTGTCAAATACAATAGCGGTAATACAAATGAATTGATTTAGAGAATTCTGAAGGATACTTTCAAATAACCAAGAATAACCATTATTTAGCATGAATTAAAACAAATTACGTCTAACTTACATCTGGTGTTAAAGCATTTGCTACGACTGGACTCAAAAATCCTGTTAATGCACCAAGTGAATTAGAAGCAGAAAACAATAAACCAGAATATTTTGGTGTAATTTCAATTGGACTAAGCATTCCACCAGAGAAAACACCAGAACTAAAGAATAATCCAAATGTTAATAGAACAACAACTGCATATTTATTATGACAATCAAACAATGTGATCAGTATCATAAGGAGAGCTGGTCCAAACATACCTATGAAAGAAAGATTTAAAAAAGAACTATATACATTTTGTACTTTTCTTATATATACGAGGGAGGGGAACAGTAGAAACTAAGATAAAATGAGCCTTATATTAAAGATAAGGGGTAAGACTGGTAAACTAAACTTTTGAGAAAGAATTGTAATTTCTAAGCAACAATTTTGTATTAGTAAATATTATTTGATAATGAACAAATGCAATTTGTCAATCTGGGCAGAATAAAAATCGGAGTTACTCAAAAATTCAGGTTATGAGTTTCCGCTACCCATAGAAACAATGTGAGCCATGAGGCTTGATACGTAACTAGGTTTCTTCTTTATATCATATGTAAAGTAAAAAAGTTGAAATGTGAAGTATAAGAAGAGAGCAACTATTCACACTGTATTACACTACCTCTACACGTAGGGGAAGTGGGAAGTGAATTGCTTTGGAGAGTTACTTTTAAGCACGCATAAGGTAACTGAATTGTCGTAGAAACAAGAATTACTAATAAACATTTGTATATTTTGAACTAGGAAACAAATTCAAATATCTTTTTCTTCAATAGATTGTTTCTTGATGTTTGGTCTTTTGTAGCACAAGTTTTCAATAAAGGTTGGTAAACACAATTCTACCAACAGACAATCATAGACCTGATTAGGAATACTATCTGTTCAACTCACAGTAAATTCGATGATTTTCAGAAGCAGTGTCATCGTTATTGGAACTGTGATATCTTTTATGTATAATATATTTTCCAAAATGGGGATTTAGTGACTAGTTGAGAGGTATCAGTGCTCTGTACTTATAACAAATAAGTATCTATTTACTTACATACTTCTTATTACGTAATGATTTTAATGTTTTGTGATGATTATTCTACATCTATTGACCCATATTTGATCCTCCTATTTCCTATGTTTAACTATTGATAAGACTTTTGTTATCGTAATTTACTATTCTTACTACTATCAGTACACCTGTCTTCCCACTATCAACTTGTACTTTTAACTATTATTATACTTGGTAACGTATTCTATTTCATTGTGATTATTATTGACTCAAATAGCCTTGATTGGTCTAACATTTTCATATAAATATTCATGTATATTAGAGTAAAGCCTGATGACGATCTAATTGAAAACAATATTGTTCGCTTACATATGTTGTTCTAAATAAGTAAAGGGTGAAACTATAATTTATGGACGACCTTTGAACGAATCTAATATGACCTTGAGAAACGTTAGCCAATCAGTAAACAGTCAGCATAGAGTAAATATATATTATGCAAAACCAAATAATCAAAGTGGATACACCAAAAACTTGTCAAGGTTAGAAAAAGATTCAAAGGTTTCAAAATCGTAGGGGAACTCATCCATATGGCTCCATAATAGTTGGTCTCTGGAACCATGATAAGGTCACAAAAACCGTCTCAGCCTCGACCACATAGCTTCATTATTGTTTGTGTGCACTCCAGTTGTGTAAGTTTATCATTTTTATTATGGATATGTCCCTACAATACTCACACCACTGAACAGCCGAAGTTTCAGTAACATCTGCGATTATTGCAGCCAATGTTACTGGTGCTTTTATTATACATTTGGCGGCAATTATTATAATATGCCTTAGTTTCAACCTGGGTCGAGCGATAAAGGTTCCTATCCTAGCAAACGTCTTCCTTCAACATATATTACATCGAAGGACAACATCATGGTAGTCTGCACAAGGTCTACAAGTCATTTGATCATTGCAATTTCAAATACAGGAACTTCTCAGTAGTCTCATTTGTTGAAGGCGCCTAATTGTCAAGTCTTTATAATTCTCTGTGAACCCATCGTACATGAGCACCAGGTACTGAAATCGGCGCCGTGACCATGGAATCTCTCTAACGCTTCTGATTGGCTCGTCCATAAATTATAGTCTCGCCAAGTAAAGAAATGGAATTTACTAGTAAAAATTGTTTGAAAATGAATTGGTAAGATTTCCTAAATAATTTTAATGTCCTAATAATTTCATAAAATCACTCTTTTAGTCCACATAAAAAACGATGCATGGTAAGCACATTCAACTTATGACCATCTAAAGCACAAATAACCTCCATAGAAACGAAAAAACTTCGTATGAACATAGATTTCAAAGATAATATGATATCTAGAGACATCTTGAAGAGAATTTCGACTCTCTCAATACGACGTTTATTCGGAGCAACTTTGAGGCCAACTTATCTCAAGTTATAAAATAAAAGTCTAAAAGAATTGATGAAACCAGTGAAATATCTACTTGTCAGTCATTTCAATCAAAACAAAATAATCTAGGAATAAAATATTTAGTCCTAACACCATCGGATGCCGGCTCAGTGGTCTATCGGTTAAGTATTCTGGTGCGAGACTGGTAGATCCTGGGTTGGAATCCCACAAGGCAGGATCATGGATGCGCACTGCTGAGGAGTCCCACAATAGGACGAAACGGCCGTCCAGCGATTCCAGGTTTTCTTTGGTGGTCTAGCTTCAATTGACTCATGATTTCAACTATTATATCTTACTTACTTACTTACTCCTGTTACCCCTCGTCGAGGAGCATAGGCTGCTCACCAGCATTCTCCATCCAACTCTATCCTGAGCCTTCCTTTCCAGTTGCTATTCAGCCTTTTCATATCGGCTTCTATTTTCCGGCGTAGTGAGTTCTTTGGCCTTCCTCTTTTCCGCTTCCCTTCACCATTCCAAGTTAGGGATTGAGTCGTGATGCAGTTTGGTGATTTCCTTAATGTATGTCCGATCCACTTCCAACGTCTTTTCCTAATTTCTTCTTCAGCTGGAAGCTGGTTTGTCCTCTCCCATAAAACGCTGTTGCTGATAGTATCCGACCAATGAATGTTGAGTATTTTGCGTAGACAACTGTTTATAAATACTTGTACCTTCCTGATGATGGCCGTAGTAGTTCTCCACGTTTCAGCTCCATACAGTATAACTGACTGTCTTGACGTTCGTATTAAAGATTCTGACCTTGAAATTGGTTGAGAGTTGTTTTGAGTTCCATATGTTCTGCAATTGTAGAAATGCTGCCCTTGCTTTGCCAATCCTTGCCTTTATATCTGCATCCGATCCTCCTTGTTTATCAACGATGCTCCCCAGGTACTTGAATGTTTCCACCTCTTCCAGGGTTTCGCCATCAAGTGTGATTGGGTTGGTGTTCTCCGTGTTGCATTTGAAAATCTTGATTTTTCCTTTGTGAATGAGGAGGCCTATCGATGCGGAGGCTGCTGCTACACTTGTGGTCCTCATCTGCATTTGTTCGTGTGTATGAGAGAGGAGGGCTAGGTCATCTGCGAAGTTCCAATCATCTAATTGATTCTGAGAAGTCCATTGCATTCCGTATTTCCCTTCAGATGTCGAATTCTTCATAATCCAGTCAATCACTAGAAGGAAGAGGAATGGGGAGAGTAGACAGCCTTGTCTGACTCCGGTCCTTACTGGAAATGTATCTGTCAGCTGTCCTCCATGCACGACTTTGCACTGTAGTCCATAGTATGAGTTTTGGATAATGTTGACAATCTTTTCAGGAACTCCATAGTGTCGAAGAAGTTTCCATAATGTTCTCCTGTCCACGCTGTCAAACGCCTTCTCATAGTCGATGAAGTTGACGTATAGTGATGAGTTCACTGCTGTTGTTTTACAAACTGTAAACACTAAGTATTTATTTCCTGCAAGTGAATAACTTTTAAACACAACAATCAGACCTACTCACCTATGCTGTTCATCAGTTTACGAACAACACTCAAAGTTAGAATTCGACGAGCCAAGAGGATATCGGATATCCAACCAAATATTAGTTGTCCTATCCACATACCGATATATGGTAGGGAAGACAATAGAGCATTCTACAAGACAATTAAATCATTAGTCATTATGATGGATAACGATGGCTCCGAAAAAGAAAATGTATTATGACAGTATAATTGGTTAATAAAATGCGTGAATAGATATAGGATGACAGAGCTGCTGACTAATGAAGTGGAAATGTTAGGGAGTTAAAAAGGTTACCTAGCATACAAAATACTAAATATTGATGGTACGATTTATATAATCATGAATAGCGAAACACAATCTCGCAAAGTAATAAATGATTTTCTTCTATCGTCTCTTCAATTGAAATGAAAGGATAGTAAACGTAACGAATAGTTGTTATAATCTAATAACAAGATTGGTCCCGGATAATTATGTTTCACCAAACGTATTTCACATTCAGCAAAATTAACTATTCTTTATCATGGTAAAATCACCTCATAAAAGAGCAAGGCGTGATTAAACATGGTTAGTTTACTATTTAACGGTTAGATTTATAAAGTGAGAAGAAAGTAACCAGATGAATATTGATTTTAGATCGAAGTAAATAACAAGTGTTTTTCCACAACTACAAAGGATCCAAGTAGGTTAGCAAAATGAATCGGCACAGCTAACTGTGAAAACAGTTTAACGAATACGTTTCTTCGGTAATTTCTCACTATACCTTACAATTAGGAATACAAATATAAATTCGGAACATTTAAATCGTACTTAATAAAAAATATAATTGGTGAGCACAATTGCAATGTCATGCAGGTACCTACGTAATCTGTTAAAGACACACATCAGAGTGGGTACAGAAAGAATGAAATGGATCTATTGGTGGTCTATCGGTTAAGTGCTCTAGCGCGAAGCTGGTAGGTCCTGGGTTCGAATCTCGCGGGTGCGGGATCGTGAATGCGCACTGCTGAGGAATCCCATAACAGGACGGGACGGCCGTCTAGTGCTTCCATGTTTTCCATGGTGGTCTAGCTTCAATTGACTCATGATATCAACTATGGATAAATTATCACAAAAATATGTGAATAATGGTATAAGAACATTCGTCTAAACGTGACCGAATGGTTTTCACAGTATTTGGGAGCTGACTTGACGTGATACATTAAAAACGAAAAAAACATATTTCTAAAATCTCAGTGAATGAATTGGAAGTAAATTCAATGTTTCGCCTGGCAATTCGGTTCAAGCTTTTTCAAGGAAATATTATCAAACATCATATTTACCAAATATAAATAAGTATATGGTTCTCTGGTTAAATGTATACTAAATGCAGTCTTTTTGTAGCACTGAGTAACAATACCGGGATATTTGGGATACGTCTCTCTCCAAAGTTGATGTTCACTCCGGAACTAGAACCCAGTACCGTTCTCTTTTTATGTGTTTCTTAAAAATCCACCGATCAGAGACAATATATAGTGAATGAAATTTATCCTCACACCACTTACGAATACATACAATCTATTATCTTAACACACTTTTCGTTTCACACTACATATATCTTACACATTAAAGTAAACATTGATAAGGTTGATTGGATGACCTATTTAGTATACATTTAACCAGACAACCATGTGCTTATTTATATTCGGTAAATTTGATGTTTGATTATATTTCCTTGAAAAATCTTGGATCAGATTGCAAGGCGAAACGTTGGATTTACTGCAAATCCATTCGCTGAGAGTTTTCAAATACATTCTTCCTTCCTAAAGTCTGCATGAATAATATATAAAATGTGATTGACAGTGACTATATTCAGAATAAACTTAAATAGTAAGAGTGAATAAACATTGTGACCAAATTGTAGGTGAAGATCAGAGGAAATAGATGGTGAAACAAAAGGTTTTATTATGCATTAAATTTGTAGGAAAGGTACGATTTGTATGACCTCATCGATGGTTAACTAACGGAGACCCAGTGAGTTTTAAACTTTCACTGTCACTTCGTATATGACACTGATTGATAAGTTCTTGTCTAGTCAAGTCAGCACAAGCATCAAATTACTCAATACGCAGTGATCAATTAATGGTAGATATCTTAGTAGAATAGGAGGTGAGTCACAGGTCATGTAGGTTAGTGTTAACGTGAAGCTTGAAGACGGGATTTTCAATCCCTCAGGGAACATCTGTTCCTTTAAGATTACAATTATGCCTTAGTGGGGTGTGCCAATTAACACTAAACCTGCATCCAGGGTATCCTGCCTACTACTTCCAACTACCTAGTATATTAGGCATTACACATTGAAAAGTTGCATCAAAAATTAGAGAGGCGTTAAAGTACCAGTGATTTGTTGTTTGGGAATAGTAACAACTTGAAATGTCTTGGATTTTCACAGACTAAAGCTTCGTCAAAAACAGTTTGTGATGTGTAAATGTTGAAATCGGTCTACTTTCGATTAGTTCTAGAACATTCCGATTATTCGTCTCCAGCCTGCTAAAGTAAATTTAACTCATGGTAGGTTGGACAGTTCAGAAGTTAAACTGTTCTATTCCCCACGAATGTGAATTGGTCTTGGGCAACTGGTAGTTGTGGATTTAAAATATCCATAACTACACTATATTGTTCAAAATACAACAACATAATATTTATACCTGTAACGTTTATCAGTCAATCAATATATAATGTTTAAATAGTTTCCAACATGAGTTGGTAAAATTACTTATTTTTAGTGTTAGAATCATACCGCTATTGATGGGGTTGTCTGGATTTTGATTCTTATGTAAATTTGGATAGTAACTTGAAACGGGATCAAGAACATGCGTTTTACCCGATTTAGAACTCGTTAGCTGGATGTAGCCTCATCCCAGGTCTACAATTCAGTACCTTTTCAAATCAAACGCCGATATGTTACCTGCTCAGTTACTGAGTCCAACTAGCTACTGGTTTGTGCAAAGGAGATGAGTTTTATTATTCGTTTGTACATATTCGAATCTTGCTGTTGTTGATGTCAAGGACTGGGAACTGATCAGTACTGAACTGATATTTCATTTTAATGTTCATCCCTCCAGTTGTCCAATTGTTAAACGCTCGCAGATAAAGACCAGCAATTCCTGAGTTCAGTCGCTTGACGGGGTTTCACATGAGCACTATTGAGTTCCATAACAGGAAGAAACAACTGTCTAGTGCACTACGGTTTTCATTAATACCCTAACTGAGGTCCGCTCGTATAGTATACCGTTAACAAATTAAGTCACTCTGCAGAAACTCTTGGTCATCACAACCAAAACATTGTAGCAGTTTGGTCATGCTTAATTGAAATTTGTAAACTCCTACAACAATTAATCATATTTAAATCATACAACAAATAGGAGTCAAACATCTTGATGTATTCAATCTTCGTTGCAATGGTCAGTGTCAACAGCTTTACTTTGAAACAATCCAAACGCATGAAGGATCTTGAATAAAATCTTAAGAAATGTTTTACAAATCTAATAAAATGTAAAACTAAAGGCTTTTCAATAACTAAAAGGTAAACACATACTCGTTGAAAATCAAAATGTAACACTTCACGCATATACGTTGGTACACTTGTTAGAAAAGTATATAAATTCCAATCTATCCCAATATTTACAATAACGAATGCCCAAACAGGGAGTGATGTCAAAATAGATTTTATTGGAATCTATATTTAAAATAATATATAAAATGAATTTTGAATGACAGAATAGATTTTGAAATGGTTACCACAAATAACATTAAATGGAAATTATTGTTTACTCCATCATCTATTTGATGATTTATCATTCATTGTATCCGTTGAACAATGAACAATATATTATACCTTTATAGTATCATATAAATCGATTGTTAGTCAGTCAGTCAGTTAGCTACAACGTAGAACCAGGCACAAATATGCATCGGTCCAAGTTGCCATACCTCATTAGCATATCAAGATCAACACCAAATTCATAGAAGTAGTTAATTCTATGGTGGTAATATAAAAAAGAAAGGTTGTATATAAGGATATGGTATGGGAAGGAAGAAAGTTATGAAGCAATTTTATTCTCAAGGTTTAAGGGAAGATAAAATGAGTATACACCTACGCCATTGTGATCGATTCTGAGGCATGTCACACACAGTCTCCAACCATTGGTTACGATAGTCACACGGACCCCAATCACGTAGTCTGCATCTACTAACATGGATCAGACTAGAAGTTAGTGACTTTGTGGACTGATGCCACGTTTTGGTTTGGCCGCCTCTAACTCTCTTCCAACCATCCCCTACACTAGTCAGCATAGCGCGTCGTGGTAATCGGTGCTCAGGTATACGTAACACGTGGCCTAACCATCTCAGTCGATGAAGATTCATGACCTCATCAACTGATTTACCGATTGTAAAATATCATTAAAGAAATTTCACAAGTCCTCATCATCCCTGAATAATATAGACACCCTATAGAGCTTAATATACAACAAGTCAATAAATAAGTGAATCAATCTAGTGAGGTAGTTTATAAAGTAAAGTGTTTTTGTTGATTAGTTTTTGGGCTTCTTATGAACTCAAGTGAAATAACCAACACACTAATTGATGTTAAACAGAAGGGTTGTTTGTGGATATTATAGTAATTTTGATAGTTGAGATCATGGGTCAATTGAAGCTAGAACACCATGGAAAACCTGGAAGCACTATCATATCCACAAATACCCTTCTGATAACAATCAACATATGCTCACTAGTGACTGGCTTCAAGAGGTATTTTCTGCAGTTCTAGTGAGAAGCAGTGGCCACTGGAGTTAAATCAGGTCTGTTGTGAGGTAATAACTCACTGAAGACAATGGTGAGTGTGTCGCTCAATTTCGTGGATCGGTTGAAGTTAGATATTGGCAATATTGGGTGGCGGCTCAGTGGTCTAGAGATTAAGTGCTCGCGCGCGAGGCTGATAGGTCCTGGGTTCGAATCTCGCAAGGCGAGATCGTGGATGCGCACTGCTGAGGAGTCCCACAATAGGACGAAACGGTCGTCCAGTGCTTCCAGGTTTTCCATGGTGGTCTAGCCTTAATTGACTCATGATCTCAACTATTAATGCTAATTAATCAAATCCACTGCATATGGGTGATGATATCCTAACGTTTCGGTGTTGCAGTGGGTTTCATTACATTACTGACTGTAAGTGGTTTCTAATTAAAGCATGAAAGCATTATTTAAATCAATTGATTTTTAATTCCATTCAATTTACAATATGCTACTTACCTTTCCTTCCTTGTTTTTCGTTATAACTGGACAGGTTGATTCTAAATAAGTCTTTTCTTCCATAGATATTCTTGGATGTAACTTAGGTTCATCATATACAAACATGAACCATATGATACAATAAACAAAGCTGATTGCACCTTTTTATGTTATAAGAAAGTTTGAAAATAGGCAAACATATGAATGTTTGAAGACACCAGTTTTTTGCTAGATCAACTGGTCAAAAAATTTATAGTTGATGTTGAATGCTTGAAGGAGATTGCCAAGTAGTCTGTCAACCTAGGGTCGGTGTTTCTTAATGCTCATCAACTAAGTGCATATCCACAACTTCCAGTGTGGCTACAAGTCTAAGTGATTTGGAAACGCTTGCAACGTAATCCGTAGAACTTGATCAGCATTAAGAACTGGACAAACTCAACACTGAATACTATTCAGTAGTTAATAAATATAGATAACTCAGTTCTGTAAGAAGTTACTCGCATCGAGTGGCTCAGTGGCAAAGTTTTTGGTTGTTAAAATGGGCAATGAGGATTCATATCCGAAGAATGCCATAAATCTCATGATAACGGATACATGTCACTGAACAATTTCAGCTGGTACGGAACGTATGTTCAGGGTTTTCTGTCGAACGACTTCAACCACCTATCAAGTGTATATTTGCGCCCCTCATCACCTAAGAAACCGATGATCCCACAGCAAATTAAGTGAGTTTGACTGTTCATCTTAGATAAATCACAATTCATTTATTTTGGCAAACAGATGAACGTTTATGCTTGAGCATAATAATTATCACCTGAACAACAACATTTACTATCTTCTCTGCCCTATTGCATTATCTAAGTTCTATTGTTCCTGTATAATATGTTATCGGCTAACTATGTAATTAATCTTTTATCACTTATATTTACCATTTAGTTAGAGTGACATGAAGGAGAGCTATGTGTTCACAAGTTACTTGGGATACTTTAGTAATAACAAGTATTAAAGGTAGCTATGAACAGAATTGCCCCCAAATGCCCTGGTACGGTCAAGTGTAGGGAGAGTCAGCTCTCCTTCTCCAAATGCTCTCACATGGCCACGCGTATATAGCCTCTGACACACAAGTCCTACTCACTGCCTTCTCGTGGCGGGGGTGTTGTTCACGAAAGTGAGAGGACGAAAAGCGAATGTCCGGCGCTTTAACCGGGTTGATGGACACGGAGGGTCCACCTAGGGGAGTTGGAAAATCCTGATTCCAAACCAATGGTACACATGGGCTCCACGATCTTGAGGGAAGAAATAGCGTATTCACCTATTGTTGGTGACCGGCTACCATGGGAATGCATCTCCTCACGATGCTCCACTGCCTTGTGGATCAGACCTTTAGGTCAAAGGCTCCGACTGTGGCCCCCTAAGAAAACCACCTACTTCGGTCTGGGCACCTGGGCAGTATCACAGCCCTCACACAAATCAAATGAGATTTGTGAGGTGCATATATATCTGGTGCCCCTTTGTACCAATATTTATGTGTTTAAATAAATAAATGACCACAAAAAAGACATCAACAGTGAGAGAGTGCACAAATGGAGAATTATAGCCATAATTAAAGTAGTAATTAACACTTAATTTTAGAAATTACGTACAAGTCCATTCGTTAAGTGTTCAAACACAATTATCGTGTCAAAACTAACAATGCTAAGTTTATTTATTTATTTATTTGAACACATAAATATTGGTACAAAGGGGCACCAGATATATATGCGCCTCACAAATCTCATTTGATTTGTGTAAGGGCTGTGATACTGCCCAGGTGCCCAAACTGAAGCAAGTGGTTTTCTTAGGGGGCAACACCCGGAGCCTTTGACCTAAAGGTCTGATCCACAAGACAGTGGGGCATCATGAAGAGATGCAGTATTATGGTGACTAGTGACCAACAATAGGTTCATAGGTCATCCATGTGCATCATTGGTTTAGAATCAGGGTTTTCCAACTCCCCCTAGGTGGACTCGCCGTGTCCACCGACCCGATTAGAGAGCCGGACGTCCGCTTTTCGTCCTCTTAATTTCGTAAACAACCCCCCGCCACGAGAAGGCAGTGAAAGGTAACTCAAATTACTGAAGAGATGACATACTGAAATCCGAGATCATAGAAATAGAATGATAACACTTAAATCATCCAGTCATATTTAGATAATCAAATGTAAATAACTTCTTGTTTTCAAATGAGGATACAGTCAAATACATATTTAGGAATTATTATCATCATTAGAAATTTCTACTTATTTACTAAATCAAGTCATATTTATTCAATCTTCAAGTTGCAGTGCAGACAGATATTAATATACAAATAAATAATAATACTTTTTAGCATTGGACTAATAAACAAATAATAGTAATACCCTCAATATTCAATATGTTTAACCGGAATTCATAGCTAACAGAGTCACTTGTAAGTAACCTTTTAATTTCCTATTAATTATAGTCTAAATATGGTCCTTTAATTTCATCATTGAGTTTTGAACTATTCGATCACATTGTAAGCAAAGATGGATAGTGGCTAGCAGTGGAATCCAGTTTGACGCGCGTTTCATCCTATTTGGGACTCGTCAGCTGCATGTATCTGCATCTCAGAGTTGCAGTCCTAACACATCGATAGGAAGATTCGAACAAACAATACTAAATGAATTTAAACTTCACCCCATCGTACAAGCAAGTGGCTATTAGGACTCAGTAGCTAAGTGTATAACGTGATGACGTTTGAAGCGAAAGGTAATGGGTTTGAGTCCCAGAGTGAACGTCAACTCTGAGATGCAGTTACATCCAGCTGACGAGTCCCAAATAGGACCAAACGCGCGTTCTGGATTCCACTACTAGCCACTATCCATCTTTGCTTACCATGCTTGTGAATTAGGGCTATATCGAGGCAATACGCACAGAATGCACATATACCAATTAGAGACTGACCAGTTGCAGTCCTAACACATCGGCGGGAAGATTCAAACAAACAATACTAAATTGAATTTATTCTTGGAATTGTTTCTCTCATTTTACTCGCATCACTTTTTCTTCAAATTCACAATTTTATTTTCTATCTGACTGGTCTTAACTCATGTCATTTTTTAATTGCTATTAATTTATGTTCATGTACTTCACTATACAATGGGTTATTTATTTTGCAGTGGACGAAAACATAGATAGTGGACAACCAAATGTTCCCAACCTTCTACCTCCAGGCATTCCACTCTCGATTGGTGATACTTACTACTTATATATGTCGACGACCCCCAAATGCCCTGATACGGCTGAGAGTTGGAAGAGTCCGCCCTCCCTCTACAAATGCTCTCACATGGCCACAAGTATATAGCCTCTGACAGGGAAGTCCTACTCATTGCTTTTTCATGGCGGGCGTGTTGCTTACGAAATCGAGAGGACGGAAAGCGAATGTCCGGCGCTTTAATCGGATTGATGGACAAGTAGAGTTCACCTAGGGAAGTTGGATGTATCTGCATCTCAGAGTTGCAGTCCTAACACATCGATAGGAAGATTCGAACAAACAATACTAAATGAATTTAAACTTCACTCCATCGTACAAGCAAGTGGCTATTAGGACTCAGTGGCCGAGTGGATAAAGCGATGGCGTTTGAAGCGAAAGATATTGGGTTCGAGTCCTAGAGTGAACGTCAACTCTGAGATGCATGTGTACATGCAGCTGACCAGTCCTAAACTGGATGAAACGTACGTCAAACTGGATTCCACTGCTAGCCACTATCCATCTTTGCTTACAATGCTTGTGAATTAAGGCTATATTGAGGCAATACGCACAGTATGCACATATGATAATTAGAGACTGACCAGTTGCAGTCCTAACACATCGGCGGGAAGATTCAAACAAACAATACTAAATGAATTTATTCGACTACATTTTTAAAGAATAAGAACAAGTTTACGTAATTTGATTTCATCGTTTAATTAGTACTATGATCCACTAGTTGAATAAGTTTGATGTCATATTTAAAACATTAATGTGTATTTTGTTAATAAATAGCATTTTAAATTTAATCTGTACAAAAATAACTGACTCACCATAGAAGTAGAAAACTAGTGACCATCCCAATGATGTTTGACATAAAGCTCCAGTAATAGGCATTGTAATAGCACTACCTACATGAAGTCCTATTATAATATTCAATGTAAAACAATATAATCAGACTAATTATAGCAATAAAATTATAAATTTATAGTGCGAGACAAGATTAAGGTCTTTTTAGCAACTTACTAAGAAATATAATGTAGAAAAAACCCGTTTAGGATAAATGTTTTAACTGAAGTGAATGCATGGTTACATAAAGCTTATAAATATATACAGTTACTGATAGAGATCCAAATTTATATGTTTTGAATGATAGACTAAAGTCAGTCAGTCAGCTACAGCGTAGGACCAGTCACACATATGCATCGGTCCAAGTTGCCATACCTCATTAGCATATCAAGATCAACACCAAATTCATAGAAGTAGTTAATTCTATGGTGGTAATATAAAAAAGAAAGGTTGTATATAAGGATATGGTATGGGAAGGAAGAAAGTTATGAAGCAATTTTATTCTCAAGGTTTAAGGGAAGATAAAATGAGTATACACCTACGCCATTGTGATCGATTCTGAGGCATGTCACACACAGTCTCCAACCATTGGTTACGATAGTCACACGGACCCCAATCACGTAGTCTGCATCTACTAACATGGATCAGACTAGAAGTTAGTGACTTTGTGGACTGATGCCACGTTTTGGTTTGGCCGCCTCTAACTCTCTTCCAACCATCCCCTACACTAGTCAGCATAGCGCGTCGTGGTAATCGGTGCTCAGGTATACGTAACACGTGGCCCAACTATCTCAATCGATGGAAATTCATGACTTCATTAAATGATTTACCATCATTCCCTAATACGCTGCGTCTAACCTCACTATTACTTACCTGGTGATCTCAACAGATGCGAGCAATATTTCTAAGACATCTGTGGTCAAACACTAGCAACTTAAGAGTATATTCTACTCTTAATGGTCATGTTTCACAGCCGTAAAGCAGAACAGAGCGAACCGCTGCGCAGTATACTCGTCCCTTAATTGATAGACGGATATCTCGTCTTCGCCTTAGGTGACGTAAGTTAACAAAAGCCATGCGAGCTTTTTGAATCTATGCTGAGATTTCGTCAGACAACAACCGATTAGGGCTGATCAGACTTCCAAGATAAGTAGAGTTGTCCACGCGTTCGACTACTTCACTTCCTATCCTTAGTTCAGGTGTTGACACAGACCAGTCCTGGAGTGACAATTTACATTTAGAGGGAGGAAATACATCCCAATCATCCTGACGTTGTTAACCAGTGCTACCAAAAGACTCTGCATCTTATCAGCGCCTTCATCAAACAGAACTACTTTGTTTGCGTATTCCGATAAGCATGTCTGTGCTCTAAAATCTGACGAATAGTGAATATGTGGTCGATGCAGCCATGACCAGGTCTGAAGCCAGTCTGATTTTCTCGTGTTTGTAGTTCACGAGTCTTAGTTAGGCGCCTGACAATTATTGAGGCTAGTATTTTAGACGCTATGTTAGTCAGACTAATCCCTCTATGGTTATCGCAGGATGATTTTGGGCCCTTCTTATATATTGGGACAACCAGTGATTGTGACCAGTCAGACGAGATTACGTCCAACTCCCAGAATTTAGCTAAAATATTAGTCAACCAAACCACTAAAATTGGACCACCATATTTAAAGATCTCTGGAGCCAATCCATCTGGACCAGCTGCTCTTCCTCGTCTCAGATTAGTTATAGCCTTTTGAACTTCAGGTAGGGTCGAGGGACCTACTTCAATGTTCCATTAAGGTTTTTTGGGAATAGTGGGTAGTTGTGCAGTAGCTGAAGACCAGCTGAACTGCTCCTTAAAGTGTTCCGCCCATCATTCTAAACGTCTGGGCTGAGAGCATATGAGAGTTTCGTCTTTTTCCGAGATTGTGTCACTTACACGTGACTTCTTAATTCCGGTTTCTTTTATTAGTCTGAAGAGTTGCCGCTGCCTTTGCCATCTCTTTTGATTTCGTCGCCCACCACTACTCACGATCGTTCCTTAGACTTTTGGTTAACCTAGACCTGATTTGTTTTCGCTCTTCATTGTGTTCAGATCTTGATGGGATGAGTTTACGAGAACCTATCACTGCAATGGACTTAAAAGAGATCTATTGGCTTTTAGCAACCTTTTAGTTTAAATTACTAATAGATATCGCTACTGTTTCCACAGCTGTTCGTAAATCTTTTCAAGCAACATCTGGGTCAGCTTCGTTTACAAAACTGTCCAGATGTGAACCCAGTTGTTCCTGGAATCTGCTTTTGGCTTTCTCGTCCCTCAGTTCAATTTTTGTAGAAGTTCAGAGAGCTTTCTGTAAAAGTCATCTTTCACTTTATCCGGGCTGCAGTCAGTGGTGGCGTAGGCAGAAGCGATGAGAAGGCACCGACGTGGATTTCTATCCTTCCGAGTTCTTACAGAGCCATTTAGTCAGACAGCACACAGGCGACTGTTAACGGGGATCCATTCTAATAGTGCTTGTTCTGCTCTCGTACTTAGTGCTATACCTATATCTGCAAGTCCACGAGAACTAGCCATCGGGTCGTCAGATACACGGGGGGCGTAACTTGTCGGCTCTCCATTTTGGCGAGGTGAGGTCAAGTGAATGACCACACTAGGATCCTGTATGTGTGTTTCGGAGACACAGCATACATCGATGGTTTGAGACTCTAGGGTCTTAGCCAAGGAGGCCTGTTGACCGATTTGACTTAGGGTACGTACGTTGAAGGCTCCAATGTGTAGTTTGGAGCGAGGTTTTAGCAGACCTGGGACAGTGTTTCGCGCACTAGAATCGTTGACCATGATGACACATGAGGGGGAAAGCGAAAGAGGAAGTTTAGTGTTCAAAGTCGAGGTAGAAGGAATAGTAGGAAGTGAAGAAAGAGATTGATTATGAATACAGTGGTCTTGAATGCTGTTAGAGGTATGAGGGCAGTTATCACTTCCCGGTTGCCCACACCGTGGAACGGTTCTTCTGGAGGTACCTGAAACGAAAATTGGATTAGTGGTCTTAGTGACCTGAGAGTGTGACTGCAGTGACCAGGAGACAACTGCTGCAGGTTGGTCACACACGACCATTTTGTGGGTAATTTTTGCGTTAGCTTCGTACTTGTTGGGACCTTACCGCCCGAGATGGATATCCGTGGGATAAGGCGAGGTGTACATTTTTAGAGCCGACCTTTTCTAACCTCACTCATTTTTGTGGGAAGGCAGCATCGCCGTTATGCTGGTTTTTTGAAGGAGACACTTTACTGCGTCATACCTCTGTACAGTCAACAGTACGACTTCGCTTTCGGACTTTGGGTTTGCTGCTTTTAGTCTTACTGCTTTTCAAGCGACCCGTCTGGCATGGTAGGACCTTGAAGAACGATTGTTCCAGCCAGTATAGCTTGATTGGTTAATCACGATAGGCAAGCCCGACCACTACGTCAAGGTAGCAGCAACGATCGGGTCATAGACTAAAGACAATGAAACAGAATCAAACTGTAAATTTATTACGAACGCTACCTGCATAAGCAAATCCAATTAAAAGTCCACGCTCATTCGGAGGTGCCCAGGCAGCCCAAAGTTGATAGAATCCAGGAAACCAACTTGCCTGAAACACCAATAAATAACTCACATTTAAAATCATAACTAGTGAATATCAAGTTCCACACATCGGTCAATAACAAACAAACGAAATGATATCGTCACTTGAACAAAAGTGGGATGAAGCATGGGAAATTTTTTTATACTTTCGTTAAATTATCAAAAGGTAGCTTAGCTAGATATCAACGATCAAAACTTGTAGTCGGTGAAATAAAAGATTCGCTAGTTCACATTTCAATCAATTCCGCATGCTGGACCAGTCAGAATAAATTATTTTAATTGCCTTTCTCGTCAAATTCTGGGTTTCTTAAAGATAAGTACATGTAAAGTCATATAGTCACAGCTGTAGGTTATATCATCTATTTTTCCTATGGTTGATTAAAAACCGAGAGATTTGATGTCAGTAGGTATCATTACCAAGGTTTGACCAGATAATTTCGAATGAATTGAGCATTGGGTAGATCGTTATGAATGAAATAACATAATTTTAATATCCCAATGAGTAGGAAAATTAGATGAGTCACAAAACGTCAGAAAACCTAATTTTTCTACCCATTAGGATATTACAAATATATCCCTTTATTTGTGATGTCAGTAGTTACTTAATGACCATTCGTGTTAGTCGGTGTAGTATGTCTGGTATTATTATATCAGTCCATTAGATTTTGTGGATAAATATTTTATTGCCCCATAAACGTCGTAAAAGATAACGAAAGCAACAAATTAGAACAACTTTATTATTTTATTCAGTGTAATATCCTCACTGGGGATTCATTTACCCGGTCTTGGGTCAGACGATATGTCATATCTTGTGCTACTATTCAACTGCTAAAAGCGAAGTAGATGGAGAAGGTAAAAATTCGTGACACAACACCTGAAAGCCGGATAGTTTAAACATCAATTCATCGCTCAGCGCGCTTTTATTAAAACCGAAGCTGTTGTTTTTGGAAACGCGTTAGGTTAAATCGTCGTGATTGTCCTCCTTTTTATAAATTCGTACTTTTCATAGAGATGATTTTCGTAACAAGCCGAAACTGGTTTAAGAATGACTGCAAACCATATAGCCATGTACTTTTGTTCTGTTTCAGCTCAATGAAAATGTAGTGTAACCCATTAATGTGGCACAAGACGGGATACTTGATATAGAGAGCAAGTCAGAAGTAACAAAAACGACAATCAATGGCAATTAGATGTGACCTAAAGGTCAAATGTGTTTAATTAAGGTCAATTTCCCAAGAATAGATTGGTATACATATGACTGAGTTTTCGTGCATTTTATTCGGTATTCCACTACACTTTCTCGCCGAAGTAGTCAGCTGGGGTTAGCACATAGCATACCGTGCATCGGACCAGATTTCGGAACACTACATGTCACAACAATACCCGGGGTTGTATCACACTTCTTATATGAGAGATAACGACAATATTAAACAGAAATAACCTGAGTAATCGGAGAGCACTTTAAACGCGCAATCTATCAGCTGAAGTGGAAGCCTTTTAAACGAAGTAACGACCATTCCATACTACATTAATTTAGGACTGATTGGCAGAGCATATCGACAGCACTATAGCAGGACAACCACAAGGCTTTCATGTCTCGTGATTAGTCTCGTAACATTCGGTCACTGAATCTAGGTCCAGTAGTCTCCGCCTTGCAATTTTGGTCGACTCATGATATAATGCAACTACAATATTATATCACTAGTGAGGGTCCTTTTAAATTTCAGCTTTGCCAAATTCAATCGTTTACCTGCTATTACGAAGTAATGAAACTTTATGAACTTCATGTGAACTAATAATCATTGTTGTTTATTTATTTTTTGGATTATATCTATTGTGAGATTATAGATACTACTTGGATTCTCAAATTTGAGATGAAGCTAGTTAAAACACAATATTAAAATTTCAATCTAGAATCCTAATACAAATCCTATAGCTGATGTTTCCAATCAAAAAGATCAGAGGTTTAAAGAAATGGGCATAATAAGACCTACGGATGCCAATCCTGTAAGCACTCGTAAGGCACAAAATAAGTATAGAGACCTTATTGCTACCACTGGAACAAGTATTGTTGACGTGCTCATAAGAATTAGGGATGTAAGTAGGACTGAGCGAACGCTGAACTTTTGAATAAGGATACCTGCAGGTATCTGCCCAAGAAAATAACCCCAGAAAATGACTCCGAGAAGAACTCCCCAACTTGAGCGATCCCAATCAAACGGGCCATCTATCACAGTCTAAAATTTTAAAATAGTGAGAAAAACAATCAGTCACCTGAAATTTTGCGTCCATCATTATGAATCAGGGATAAAACCGAAAGGAAAAGCAGGATAACAACTTAGTGGTAAAAACATTCATAGAACTTACTAAATTGATATGACGTTAGTTTCTAAATATTAAATACAAAAAGGTATAACATTAGCACAGATACATATACTGTCTGAAATGAAAATTTTTTGGATGAAAGAGTTTCCAAGTTTGTGGAAAAAGCAATAGAAAACTGCACCAGTACTAACAATAACTTTATTTTGAGTTTTATGTGATGCATTGAATTATTTGGTAGTGTAACCTCTAAACAAAAACCATCAACGATGTACAGGTGCGTAACTGAGGGTGAACATTTAACCCGATAATCCATCTCCTGTGAAAAACAAACGTTTTTTTTATAATTTCTTTCAAAATTTAGTAAGAGAACTGTTCAGATAGCTTGAGCAATTTTTCCCAATTATTTTGTATACTATTGAAAACCCTTTTTAAACAACGAGCATAATGAATGCTACACCCGATAGCTGGTCGAAAAGTCTCATGAAGTTTTAGCACTAAGAATGTTTTTTAAAGTGGATCTAACCATACGAGAAACAGCAGTTTGATTCCAGTGATATTCCTTACATCCACGCTTTTTTATAGACCTTTGATTACCATCTGACTCATAGTTTACCTCTGACAAATACCTCAGGCTGCTAGTAGCTCCAATTCGCTTGGAAACCTTCAAACGATTCTCGAACACAGAGTTTGACTATCATGTTTTGCAATTTTAGAGTGGGAGGATAACAGTTGAAACTTTGTTGAAACTACTTATACTAGAATAACTACGTGGACTCTTCATAAGATTTATAATAGTCAATACAATTTTCCATGTTTTAGTTCTGGTTTTTCCTCCACCAATGTTTTATTTCATGGTTCTCCTCACGATATTTTTTATGTATGGTAACTTGAAATGATTCAATTTGGAGTGATGGTGCTTTTCCATGCTTTCCACTAGAACCTTAACATTAGGCATAAAACTCAATTACTCCGATCCATTTTGATTGCTGGCATTCGCAGACACTACGTCGTACAAGCTAGTTATACGTTTTTTACTTACATGTTATTTTTCACCTACTCAGTGTCGTAAAGCAGTGTGAACGTTGAAGCAATTTGCTGATTTTATAGTTAAATAAAGTACAAAAGTACGAAGATTTGTGTAAAAACCTAGACGGCTTAGGTAAATAATTTTTTACGAGACATTCCCAACCACCGTTATGATACAGTATCATGCATTATACTGATACATACAGCTTTTCTTAAAGCAAACATGGCCATGTGGAATTTTGAATAAAAGGCACTCATTCAGGGTTTTAATTTAAAATAGGATGGAAAGAGAAGGTTAAGGGAATTCAAGTGAAGATGTAATTTGAAGTTGTGAGACTAGCAAACAGATTAGGGTGATAGAACGTCTGAATTTTAAGAGTTGAATAATCCATTATAACTAACTCTGAACAATATCATATACTACTGATCGTTATTATCTTAGGGACCATGACTAGAAAGCCTATTGCTCATAAGTAATTGATCTCTTGAGTTGTTGTAAGTGCCCTAACTACTGACTAAAAAGTGAGTAAACCAACGTCGCTGGATCTACAGTAATTCCTTTTTATCAGTAAACGATCGTTCTTATACTTCGGTACAAGAAAAAACATACTGAATCCTATTCCATCACAAAATATAGGATCTTTGGAGGCTTCCTGTTTAAAACAATAGAAGCTAAATGAATATTTGTATACCTTTGTTTCATTGAATGATTCTGTAGTACAACCAGATGAATTTGGGCCAACTCGAATAAGATATTTATCATTTGTACTGTTGTTATCATGTATAGTGCCGCGATTTGTCATACACAAGATTGCAATACTTAAATTTACTCTTTGAGCCAGCATGTTGATCGTCCCAAGGCACAAAACCAGCGACAAAATAACTCTTTCAGGTAAGTATTTCATATCGCTAAGAGCGGAATCGCATGACAACGTCAGTTAAGCGCTAAACCTAATTCCAATATCCAATATCTTCGTCAGGAGCTTGTATAAACTAATTGTTTTTTTGGCTCTTTTCTTGTTATTTCGGTGCAGATTCAGGTATTTGATATTGTTCAATGGAAGATAGCGTACCCTCTCGACTGAACTAATTATAGTCAGTTTGGTTGTTATTTGTGAATTTGTAGTTTGAGTGGGTTTGGCTTAGAGCACAAAGGTTTCGGGAAACCAACAGATATCACATTATCAGGTCGGTCGGTTGCAATGACAGATTAACCAAGTGATTATTTGAGTGCCAACAGAACGACTGTTTCAAGCATAACAAATAAGTTGATTTACTGGTAATATGTACGGAGACGAGATGGAAAATATAATAGTGGAAACAAAGTTGATAATAAGCTAGATAGGAAGTAGTTACTGACGTGTGATAATAATAATGGTGGAAAATTGCGAGACATTGACCATTCACAGATTATATTTAGTTACTGTAATTGAAACGTAAATTGCTTCGTAAACATAAGGCATGGAATAATGAGTTGGTACTTGTGGCTAAGGACTTACATACTCGCTAATCATGGTCAACGGAACTGGTTGGTGGGTATGAGATAAATATTGATGATCTAATAGCAGTGGAATTTAGTAAAGTTTACTGCAGGAAGAGATCTGAGAAAGATTTGTCATCTGTAGGAGAGAACTAGCCGCAGGTTGTAAGTTAGGTTTATCGGTGTTCAAAAGTTCTGCTTTAAGTCCTACACTTCTCAGTTGCATGAGCGAGTTAGCTAGAATAGCTTCGGCTGAATGTACATAGTTGTTAGGATTTTTGTGTTCAGTGTGGCGTGAAGAGCACGCTGAAAATCCCTTTAAAGTGATTTGTTGGACAGTATAGATATTTTCTCATCCTTCTTTACTGTGTTGTAATTTCATGCTTGTGGGGAGTAGTGTAACGTCGTGTACTATACTACACCTACATAGCTTGTTCTAGTTTCTGGACAAGCCAATTCACCTATAATGTTATGAGTCATATTTTGATCTTGTTAATTATTCCCTTATTGACCTTGACTATATTTTTTACATGAGCGCATGTGTATGCACATTTCGTATCTCATTCATCGCATGTCTGTCATTCATTTTTGTCTGACTATAAATGTTGATTAATGCTTGCTCATATCGAGTTGGCTTACCAGCCATCTCCACTATGCGTCATCTTTCCTTCGCTTGCTTACATTTGCTAATGTGCTCACTGCCTTCTAGCCCATGTTATTTATCAATAAAAATGTAGTTGCTGCTTCCCTTTGTCTTCTGATATTATACGCTGTTCAGGTTGTTATAATAACGGTTATCGAGACGATCGATTAACGAAACACTCCACCACATGCTTACTCAAATCTCTGTTCTTCAGTCTTTGTTGTGCGCAATTTAATTACTTGATTTCTGTTATGACTTACCTTCATTACTTAATGTAATAAGGAGCCGAAGATTGTCAGAACTATGTCGAAATTTATCGAAGGGACTAATTGCTTCATTACTTAATTTTACTGTTACATATTGCCTGACCATTGACATTAAGGTCATGTTTGATTAAACTTAGGGTTATGGCGTGGTCCAGTTGGTAATTACTGATCCTTGATAGTCCAGTGTTGACGGTTACTCGAGTCCATCCTAATAGGTATTTGACCACATTTTGTTGGGAACATCCACATTTGTTCTCAGTCACTGAATACTAATTTACCGACCTTGTAGAGGTAGTCATGATAAGTTGTTTTTCTAGTTAGTTTTTGATACTACTTGCATTTCTTTTGTCAGTTCTCGTAATTTGTACATTGGCTACAAGTGGCTGTAAAATTTTTTTAAAATTGCATGATTTTGAATGCCTTCCCTTCCGTCTTGAATCCCTGATAACACGACACACCGATAACTGCTCATAAATACACTGCCACACTCACATGTCTCTCGTAAGCAATTGTTGTTGTTGTTGCTGTTGTTATAATAACTGAACTCTAAAATATTTATTACCTACATTTGTACAGTATAGCCATATCTCCATCATACACTTCATCTGTAATTACTACTCGAATCATAAAAATATATACTGGAATAAATAATTGCCTATAATTATGGCAAATCCTGACAGTTTAAGTGACGTCCAGTAAATTGTACTTGTGTATATAAATTGCATTTAATATGTTAATACATAAATTTTTGGACGCAATAACTATATTATCATTTTTGAGTTAATATAATTTTCCGTCCACCACAGCCTTTCCTTTTGCTGTTTGGCACATAATTTTTGTGTGATAGGGAAACAGTAGACTTCTTAGCAGGGACTGTTTTGAAATTTTGATGTAATTCGCTTGCTTTCCTAAATAAGAAAGGTTTATTTTCCTTACAGAGTTTGTGCTCTTACCAGTCACTCAAAAACGCTTTGTACGCTATTAAGATCAACATAGTTCCGTCTAATAAGAAGCTGGTTTCTAGCTCTGAATTCAGGATAAATACTTGAATTTCAGTCGTCACACATATTTTTTCGTTAGTGTTTCACGACAAAACTGTTAAAGAAAATGAAAGAAGGAGGGAAAAACGCAGAACAGATAGTGCTCATGATTGTTTCTGTTGCGTCATTTGTGATAGGAAAATTGCAGTATGATGTTTAAACATATTTTCCTCCCCCAGATCAACTGCTCTAGAATTGTGTTTCAATATGTTATGGAAAGCAAGCCAATAATATGGTAACAAATGGTTAAAGAACCGTGAAATCTAGAAAGATTCAGGGAACTGAAAAATTTACTGTTGTATTGATCTTTTGTGCCTGAAGGTAACCCTCGTTCTATTGAGAGAAGAAACCAGACTAGTAGTGAATGTCTTTACTTTGGTTGTAGGACAGTCACAGTAGAGCGCGAAGTCACCTGTTCAAACACGCAAAGCTTTTCAACAATCAATATGAGATAATAAGAAATACGGTGCCTATACGGAAACAAGGGGTGAATGAATACTTGAGCTCTTGTATTTTGACATATACTTAGTTGTTTGTGGTCAGCTCTTAATCAAACAACCTGAGCTATTACATTAGCTTCCTCTTAGAATCGAATTCTGTAGGAACGTCGGTTCGATCAACCTATCTATCAAGAACTCTTACGTTCTTTTTTAGCAACCCAAAGGAGAATTACCAACTTCTTTAGTGTTTGACATTCAACCAATGACGACCAACTCGGGCAGTACTCGACGACAATCCATGGAAGCCTCTTCCTTCAATACCATGTTATCTTGTAACGTATTATTTCTTCCACAACTATGGCTGATGGTTTGCTACATGACCTCTGAATGGTGGTCAGAGCTTGTCAGAGAAAAGAGGGTGAGGAAATGAAACAAGAATATCTGTGTAATTGCTGCCAGAGGGCTACTCAGTACCATGTTGATGATGTACTGTTTTTTTATGCTCTGTTCAACTATCAGATGTTTACTCACCTGCCTCTTCAGTTGCTTTCAAGTAAAAATAAATAAAAAATCTACTTTAAAAGCAATGGTGGAAACCAGTTTAACCTGAGGAGCTGCTCCACTGTTTGTATAAAATAATAAGGTACAAAAAGGATCTGTAATCTAGAAGGAACTAGACACGGTGTAGACATCTTGTGTACGAAAAGGCATGAAAAGAAAAAAACTCATTCTTTTAAAATGTATACATGTATATGTGTGAATTTGCCAGAGATTGAACCCCTCACCAAACTTGACCAAATATATGACCTTGAGTCTATAATGACCGCCTTTCACAATCGGGTTCGTGACTGCAAGTACATAAGAGTAGAATATACGATAAGGGAGAAAAATGAAATTACAAAAAGTACGAGGATCAAATATGGCTTTTATGTCAGCGACCATCTGATGGCTTGATGTTGGTATGCATTTTATATTGGAGCTAAATCTACTTAAGTCACATAGGTAACGGGTTGGTCTGCACCTAACAAATGTGCAAGTTCTATTAATCATGAGCATGATTAATAATTTACCAGTGTAAGGAAATACTGCAGTCACGTCCACTATAGGCCAGTGTGGTCCGTTACTTACGTTTGTGGACTAGCATTCAGAAAGATATAGGTTCGAGTGCTCATGGGGTCGGCGCTGTTGTTCACAAAACTCATGTCCATATGATGTTCACCGACTGCAATTTACTCAGATACGGAATCTCGTCAATCGACCTATACATGTAAACAGGTAATTAAAACCATTCGAACATGGCAAAGTGCTAGACAAGTCAATAGGCACGTGGGCGAAACGTGCACCTAGTTGTGAGGAAACATCGATGGGTGAATTTGTGTGAAGATTAACTTTTGTTGACATACCGAACACTGTAACCTATTTGTGTACATCTTTTTGTAAATTTGACCATATATATCCGGCATTGAATAGCTTAGTCGAAGCTAATGCACCAGGATGAGACAAAGAATGAAAGTTATTAAATATTTATTTTCTCATACTTTTGAGAACGTAAGGTCGCGGCATTACCTTGGCCGTGTCACGGTAGATCAGAATACCGTCAATAGGTGACGGTGACTGCCTTCGTCTGAGACTAGGGTTGTTTGTTTCAAGTAGGTATAGTTATTCTTGCCCTTCCTGTTTGTCTCTCGAAGTCTCAAAATTTACTGTAGACCGTTGTATCACGTTCACTTCTGAAGTCCAATTTTCCTGACCTTTGACATGTTGGATATCACTTGTGGACTGTGATATACAGTCAAGGCGTCAAACCTCTCGAGGTGAGCATTTATCGTCTCTTGCCTTTAGTGCATTGGTCAGTGGTTTGTGATCCGTGAAATCTATGAAGTCCCTGCCTTCTAACTTGTGTCAGAAACGCTTAATGGTTAGGTAGATTGTAGGAAGTCCTCGCCCGAAGGTGGAATGCCTTGTCTTTGCCGGAACGAGTCTTTCTGGGAAGAAAGTAATCGGTTTCCAGGCGTTTTCATCCAGTAATTTGGGGATATCACAAACTGCTTTGTCCGAAGCACTCACCATCAAAGCAAGTGGGGAATACGAATTCAGATACATCAAAGTAGATATTTGAGCCAGTTTGTCCTTTAGCTGTTTAATAGCTTCAATGGCCTCAGAAGTCAGCTTGAATTATTTTGTCAAAGGTCTCGTTAACCGTGCACAACAGGGTATGAATCTTCGGTAAAAGTTGATTAGACCTGGAAAGCTTCTAAGTTGTGTTATTGAACTAGGTGTGTGGTATTATCTGATGGCGTTCACTTCTTTTTTGATCGGTGTAACCCATTCTGGGCTTATTGTATGTCCGATAAGTTCTATAGTTCAAACACCGAAAACAAACTTACTTTGATATATGTTCATTCCATTTTCATTCAGTGCGACTATATCCTGGATTTTTCGATTGTTAGTGGCGGAGTTTGTATAAAATTTAGAGATTTGATGTGACTTTTTTTGCTTTTTGTGTGATCCAAAGTTTCTTTCAGTGTTAAGCGTTGTTTTTGGTATCAAATAAAAATCTATATCTCTCTAAAACATTCATCCTCAGTGTGCAAACCAACTACAGTGAAAACCCAGAGATGTAGCCACCTGAAACGTAAAACTAGCGTCAAAGTTTTCTGCCCAAATGTTGCGATTTCAGTCTTATTGGCAGCTTTTTTCGACCCACACCAGTTTCTTTCCAAAGAATGATAAGAAGAGCAATACCGGTATCCACCGAAAGGTCCAAACCCGAGTTTTTGTCTCTAACACAAAACAAGCGACTGTTTAGGCACCCCCTCCCAGCCGTATAGACCTCCATATTCCCGAAAGTGTTTAGGCTAAACGCATTAATTGCACTCAGTTGACAACAAACTTCCAGCGATACCAACAGAACTGCTCAGATGGTCTGGACGTATGTGACCAGATCAGTGACTTGGATCTCGGTCGTTGTGATAACGTGCTCCTGGTTTCCTTACCTGTTCCCATCTGTTTAATGCGCAGTTTTAGAGTAGTCGAGGATAACTCATGTTGAAGACCAATGTCTTCTTCTTGAAGCTGAGCGAGTTTAAGAAGGTCGATTCCAAGGAAACTGTTCAAGAAATTCATGCGAGGCGAAGCGTCCGCAACTACATAGTTTGCTCCAGAAATGTGTTGTATATCTGAAGTAAACTGCGAAATGTAGTCGAGTTGTCGAGACTTTCAAGGTGAGTACTTGTCTGAGGATGAGCTTAAAGAGAAGGTAAGAGGTTTATGATCGGTAAAAAGTGTGAATTCCCTTCCTTCGATAGAATGTTGGAAATGCTGTACAGCACAACACATAGCTAGGAGTTCCCTACCGAATGTGCTGTACCTCGATTCAGTGACTTACAACTGTCTCCAGAAAAATCCTAAAGGTCACCAAGAGTTGTTAACCCATTGTTGTAAGACTCCTCCGATTGCTGAGTCGGATGCTTCTACTGCGATACTGTTGGGCGCTTGCGTGTCCTGATGTGCTAGTAAGGTTGCCTTTGCAATAAGTTCCTTAATTGTGGAAAACGTGTAAGTGTATGACATAACTCCGTAATGTCATACTGGGTCGTTTGAGGTTTTTCTTTGACTGGAAATACCTCGGTATTAGAGGAATTCGTGGTTTTGAGGATGCGATCAGCAGATGCAGCCAGCTCGTCTACGGCGTTGTTCTGAAACGAGACGAGTACTGCTTGCACCCGTTGAGGAAATTTAGACAATGAAAGTTGTCTGAATGGGCTATCATCGAAAGTTCTTTGGCCGATAATTTCCCTCATCCTTAGCAAGATATCTGTCTCAGAGCCATGTTGCAGGTCGATACAATTAAGGGGTCGCTATAACGCTTGTCAATCAGCTAGGTCTCTGCGTTTCAGAATCGACTGTTTCAGGATCTCTTAAGGTTCCTAAACATCACTACTAAACATACTGGGTGTGACGTGCCTGTTGAAATCGCGCGGTAGTGCCTTTACAACCGTGA